TTTCTCACTCCGATTGAGATTACTTTCTGTTCCCCATAAGCTGATTGTCAGGTTTGTGAATGCATGCTGTGCTATCCAACTGGCTGTATTGCTCCCCAGTGATTTTTCTCGGTAAGTTAAAGAGTAACTTTTATTTATTGACGAGATCTCTGAAACAAATCTCTAAATGTAGTGGCATTATCAGGGATAAACTCACGGATTCTATCATAGACAGACACCTACAGGCACGTGAAAATTTCACTGCAAAAATACTCTCAGTCACTCACCACCCAATACACAACGAATTGTCAAAAGCTGTATCCACATCATCCACATGCTCAAGATTTAAACTTTTATTTGCACGTACCTCTTCTAATCGTAATTGTGTTCTGCCATATCTAGTACGTCTACCTAATGACAAGGAAAAAAATTTCCACAGAATTGCGCAACCGCTTGCTTCGTTGACAAACACAATCTACTGTTTTCAGTTTCATTATGTAATGATTTTATAAATTTGAATCCACAAATATGCTGTAAATGCTGAAAATTCACCCATCTGGGTGCATAAAGCTACTACTGACTTGACTTGTTCTTGAAGCGCCAAAATCCACATAGAAAGTCCTCGATCAACCGAGGGAAATTCAATGAATTTTGTTTAAGTGCAGTCACCGAAAAGCAGAATTGTCTGAATGATATCATTCAAGTATGCGACGAAAACCGTCCCTACTCCTTACCACAGGAAATAACCGGAGGCTATTCATCTCTGAAATTATATTATAAATAATTTGCGAATCAAAATATTATGCTCATCACATCACGTGCTTGCTCTCCATCGTTTACTTGTCTGAGGTTTCATATGATCACATGGTGTAGTGGAACATTTAAACTGCGTCCCAGTTATTTCAACTCTTTTACTCAAAGGTAATCCTGAATGGTCACAGAGCGCATGCAAATTGCCCGTACGCGAATATCATCGATCTGATTATCGCGGATTTAACGATGTCGGTCGGAATTAGAATGGCTTGCATATTTCTGTAAACTGATATGGCTGTTGCAACTACACAAACCCGTTCCTAAATGAATCGATCCGAAGAATCACACAATAGTTTGTTTTCAATGAACGCAAAACTTGGAAACATTTTCAAACCTAGAATGGTTTGTTCATCGTATTAGGCGTGACAGCGGCGGTAGTCAGAGCAGGGAGGGAACAAATCGTCACAATGTGTGTCCTTATATTCTTGTAGTAGAGGGCAGGAACTCATTGTCCAAACAATTCAAAATGGGACACAAGATTCCTAACCTTCCCAGTGAACTGAACCGAGTTCGACGCTTGTCATCAATATGTATTTGGGAACCACAGAAAAGATGAGAAACGAGCTGTTCCTAGATGAGATTGTCAAACGCGGTAACGGTTACTTAAGGGGAAAACGGGGGGGGGGAAGGCGATTAATGAGTTGATTTGACTTTTCCAGACCTGCATTTATCACAACTCACGTGATTCTTCGGTAATTATCATCGGGCCCTGGAGAAATCTAATGGAACGTTTTGCTACGGTCTCATCAAGTCTATGGATTGTTATTTCTCGCCATCATGTCTTAAAACTATGGTGACCCTGTGCACATGACTGATGTATTATGAGGAGTTTCCAACCCCTTTGATACTGTGGGAAATGTGTTTAAACAAGACAAAGCGGAAAACGGGTAAGACTAAGAGGTGTATGAAGCACGGCAAAAAGCAATCGACCTATTGGTCAGTTGAGTTTCCATTTTGGGCTCAGAAATGTTAGAAAAATACGGGAACAGTTTCCGGACGATTAGAGGAACAACAAGCTGGCAAATAAAACGATTTAGTCGACTTTCGGGCTTTTTGTTTTGTTATTAATTACACTGTAGTGAGTGAGAGTGGGGAAGGGCACAGAAAATGGAAAGCATATTGTAACATTTAGGCAAAAAGAAACTTTTTAATTAATTGTATGATATTCGAAAGATGTGCCAGTACAATGAAGTGCGGAAATATAGACTATGCTTTCATTGGTGACCGTTCTCATTTGAACAACTACGGGGTTCGAACTCTGAAGGACGGTGAGTGGAAATATGCAGCTTTTGAGAACGTTCAAATGTTTTGAGACCATACATGGATTTGCTGTTGAACAGGTTTATCAGTGTAAGAACTGACTGATTGATCGTTAAACAGGTAGTACGATTATTTTTTATTTTATCATTCACGGGATTCCCAAGATTTATCACGAAAAATATCTTATTTTATCCACAACATTTCTCACACTATTCAACGGTTTCTGCAGGTTGATCAAAGTGGTAGTTTGTTCATGATACAAATAAATTGCAGATAGAAACAGCTCAAGTTATACCTTCCCAACAGTCGACTGGTTAGTGGTAGTTATTGTCCTGGCCGTGGTTTACTGTCTGAGATTACTTTGGAACGGACCGTTACAGTTGTGCCAGTCGTTTTCGCTTGAATTGCTTGAATTGATCACGTGTCAGATAAGGCCGATGATTTGCACCAGGCCTAAATAGATTCCCATTGAACTAAGCACACAATAGTCCTACGTCTTGTCCGACCGGAACGGAAAACTAGCGATCCGAAGTGGGAAAAGAATAGTGCTGTAATGTTTGGTCATTTATTTGAAAAAAACGAGCATCTTATCACTATGGAAATCGATTGCACATAGAAGCAGGAAAGTATCAGTTTGCAATTTTACACTTTTGTTACTCCAAGATGTTGAATGAGGCGGACCAACTGCAGGAGAACTTTAAAGCTGTATTTATCTAAGGAGATGTTACCAATGGTCCAGTGGAACATACAAAATAAATTGAATATTTTAAGGAAAACTGGCGTCCTGTTACACTTTTCTCAACCGAAGTTTATTTAAGCTAATCCCGTGGGAAATTGACAGAAATCCGAGGCCACTAGATATATTTATTATACAGAGCTATTTGAGTTGATTCGAGTCCCGCCGATTGGACTGTTTACTGCTTCAAGTATTGGTAGAAGGTTGTCACGAAGGTCAACCCACAGACAAGTTGGTCAGCCATATGCAAACCGGACTGGCGATTCTCGCTCCTATTGCGGCTCTAGTATAGAACTTGCAATACCATCCGGTTCTCAGTCAATCTCTGTCTCTCTCTCTCTCATGCGATGTTCACAATGTTCTTTGCCTCACCTTCTTTTTGTTTACTCTATTCTGTTGAGCTATGCACGATCAAAGTTAATCTGTCTGGCCGACTGTTATTTATTGCTGTATACATATATATACATATATATATATCTATGTGCATAATGTTTGCTTATTGCCGATTCTGAAGGCCGCCCAAACGTCTGCTCTGAACCATTCAGTACCCATAAACTTGAAATTACTACGCCATTTTTTTTGTTTTTTCATAATCCATCCTCGCTTACATTCTGTGCCGAAACGGAAGGCTGTGCAAGTTCAGCCGATAAACTGGTTACAGAAAACACCTTTCAGAAGAAGGATGAATGAGAGAAGTAGCGTAAACAATGCATACAAGAGCAGATCGGATCGGATCGTGCGTGTGCACATGAACAACGGATATTAGACTGATATGTGGCCCCGTCAGATTACCGTCACATTCGTTTCCGTCTGACCATTACCTGGATGAACCCACATTACTACCGACTCTTCTAACACAAAATCAAAAAGTTACAACTGCAACTACTACTAATACTACTACTACTACTACTATTTAACACCGTATTGATTTTACCTGTGTAAAATACTATAGTGTACACGTTTCGTGAATGTTTACTTACATCCCGTTTTGGGGTCTGATCATTGTCTGGTTGATCTACTCCTCCCTCTGTCATTGGTGTGTCTGTGTCTCGGTTTGTGCATTTGTCCAATTTGTTTCACTTAGACTGTTTTCCACCAACATTACTTGACCCTATTGATGTCATGTTTGCATACTTTCGAACGATGGAGCAGTGTATGAGTGTAGTATACATATATATATATATGTATATAAAATGTTTAGTTAAACATCGTATAGTGATGGGTAGAATCTTTTCTATTCAGTTTCTTACTTCCATTTATTGCGAGGTTAAAAAAATCAACCGTGGATGTCAATGCTTTCTTTTGACGAACCAAGCGAAATCGCGATTGAACAGGTCGCATTCAGTCGCACATGGGAGAGAAATCAGAAGTGTTTTCAGCTCGGTGGTCGATGACATTTCTGGTCGACAACAGATACCACATGAGCACAAAGAGCAGTCAATTGTTCTGTCCGGACTACTTTCAGTCAAGCGTGTTTATTCGTGCGTCCTTTTGGAAACCCCAAACATGTCAAATTGCTTCTCATTCAGGCGTACGGATTAGACAGGGAAAGATTAACAACCGAAGACTAGAATAATGTGAATTCATCTTTAAACTGCTTCTTCTATCCATAACCAGATCGGCGAGGGGAATTTCTCTCACAGCTCACCCGGCCATGTTCGTTTGAAATGTGTTGAGCTTTTCCCTTGCTCAGAAAAACAGTCCGTTTCGTGATTAGTGTAATAAAAACCTATTCGACGAAATGATCCTCTATCATCATGGTCATTGATTGTGTTCATTACACAGTGAGGATCTAAGAAATGATAAGAATATTCATCCGTAAACACTACTATCAGGGTTTAATAGGTTATTCGAGCAGTCAAATAGCTACAGTCAATCAGTCAGTCGGTCAGTCAGTCAGTCAGTCAATCAGGCAAGAAGGCATTCAGTCACACTCTATCAAAGGCAACCAGTCAACGGAAGATACCATCACCCACACCTTTGGCTAACTATGCAAATGTTGATTCATTAGAAGTTGAAAAAAAACGTTTCAAAGATAAACTTTGATGTTTTATCACTCTTTTTTAGTGTTGGTCATTCCTCTTTATAGCATTGACAGTTTTCTTATAAAATTTTATTTTGACAAAGGAAACAAATTCAAACGGTGATTTGCCTCGAATTTCTTTTCTCAATCCCACCGTGTGGGGAAACCAAAAATGGTTTACTGGATGTATCATTCATCAAACACGGCAAAAATACACACATTTCGTAAGTTTCCCCGGCAAACAAACAACTCACCTCCGTGTGTCAGTACACTGATCACCCGTTCGTACGCCTCATCTGAATATTCAATCGGGAGTTGGGAAATTTGACAAAATCCGGACCAATCTGGTTGTCGAATAAAAAACATGTATGCCCGCCCCGGTTGCACGTTTAACCAGCACCGACCGGGATCCGGCAGGACGCTGAACTGACCAACTCGAAGCAGATGTCCCACGCGGATAGGGAAGATCGCTCGAGATGGCTGGTGCAACTGCTTGAGTACATGTGTGACTAACAAACTGATGTTGTACAGCGGGCCGTAACGTCGTCGAAACGCTTGCCGCGGCCAACCAATGATCACATAATCGGCAAGCAAAGCGCTCGTTTCCACATCCTCACGAAACCGGTAACGACAGGGTAATTCCGGACTGGGTGGTTTGAATTGTCGAATATCCCTCAGGTACTGTTTCGCATTGTGGTACTCATACTGGGTAATATCAATTATAACCATGTCTGCGTAGTATGAGTTTGCATCTTTCAGCGGAGTGGGATCCGCAGTTAGGTTGACCGGAGCCAACGCGATTGGCAATCGGTGGGATTGGCTAGTTGAAAGACTGGCTGCGGGCACATGGGACATGAGTAACAGGAGAATACAAATGTAAGCCTTCCACCAACCGATAGACTGGATTGAGGGAAAACTAATGGGCAGTCTGGGAAACTTTGTGATAGCGGATGGGAATCCGTGCACTGGACCGCAGTCCGTCAGTGCCGGCTTCCGTCTGTCCAAGATGTAGACTGGGTGAAATGATCTGCGCACGGATGTACATTTCAAAGGGGACCAAGGGACAAAGTTCACAGATGGATGGTCTGCGTCGAGCGTGACGGAATTTAGGCGCGATGTATTTACAGGATATTGCTCCTTGGTGGAAAATACGACCGAATTATATTGTGGTGGACTGAGGCTGAATAATTTTTGCACGAAACACAACATGAGAAAATTCGCCCAAATCTCGTTTGATGACATGATTTGTGGAAAAGGTGGATGCTGTGACGAAGGGTCAATGAGTAAATAAAAGCCGGTACGGGTTTCCGTACACGACAGGATGTAGGTCACTTGCTGACCGGTCCGGATGAACAAGGGAGATAAGAGGAACACCACAGACAGCGAGACGTTTTCTTCACTGGTAAGAATGAGCGAGCAGGCACATATATCAATTTCAACTCGAACCGCGGCCGTGAGTATCAGGACGCTATCCAAGTTACACATCACTCTGAAAGAGCAAAAGATTCTCTCAATCCACTGCCGTGTGAGCCCCAAGGTGGCTTGGAAGGGGAATGCGTTGAAACATAGTCCACAATCGATGGTTCCCGTTGCGTAGCCAAGTGGACAGTTCAGTTTCAGTAGTAACAATCAGATCACCCGAAGATTCTGTGTCGTGACCGCGTTAAACAAGGTGTACAGTGTAGACATATGAGTAGTTTTCAAAACATGCAATATGAATAGGTCTACGAGCGGTGAAAACATCACGTCCGACGCGCACGCGTGGGTAGGGAGCGTGTGTGTGTGTGTGTGTGTACGTTTGTCAGCGTGACGATTCGTGTGGGTCAGTATAACTGTATCCGTGTACGGGCTGTATACCACCGCACATGTGCGCGTAAGTGTAACGACTACCTCGGACGCACGGGTGCTGATACGAGCGAGCATGAACTGTGCAATGCACTGTCCAATCAGATTGTGCGTGCTAACCCAGCTGACTGGAGACTGTGGCTGGCCGATTGACGGTTTCTGATCAGAGTCAAATGTTCTACGTGTCGTATGTGTACAGCAGTAGGGAGCAGTTTGTGAGTGATGCCATCAGGACACATTTGATCCGGTGTTTTGTGCTCATTCTATCGATTTTGACACATGAACCGGAAGATCATTCGATTTTCGGAGATCACAGTGTTAAACATGGAGTTACACGTCAACAAGGATACCCGGCATTATGCAAATCCCACACAGGTTCTATTTGGTTCTGTATATTCATTCCCATATTCGTTTGTTCATGTGCGTGTGTGTGTGTGTTTATTCACCACACACACATGTGTGC